CATCTCAGCCCTGATCGAAATTTGACCCCCTGACTATTGGACCTCGGCTGCTACTCATCCCTTCTAACTATCAATTAGAAACCTAGCTCCCCCTAACTATCTAGCAGGGTGCTACATATAGTAATTTTTAGCTGGGGTTGCTTGAGAATGAAAAGTTATTTCAATGGTTCCTCTGTGTTGAAAAGGTTGAGAAAGGCTACCCTAGAGAATAAAATAGAGGTACTTTTTTATTCCACATGATATTAGTACAACTGTTTATGAAACACAAAATTCCAGTAAAAAAAGTTAATTTTAGGGCACACAAACACAATAAATTACCCAAGTAAACTGATAAGAGGTATGGAGGAGCTCAGCTATGAGGAAAGATTAGAGGAACTGAATGTAGTCTCTCTTGAGAAGAGGAGATTAAGGGGGGATATGATCACCATGTATAATACATAAGGGGGACATGATCTCCATTTATAATACATAAGGGGGGATATGATCACCATGTATAATACATAAGGGGGGACATGATCTCCATGTATAATACATAAGGGGGATATGATCACTATGTATAATACATAAGGGGGGATATGATCTCCATGTATAATACATAAGGGAGGATATGATCACCATGTATAATACATAAGGGGGATATGATCTCCATGTATAATACATAAGGGGAGATATGATCTCCATGTATAATACATAAGGGGGGATATGATCTCCATGTATAATACATAAGGGGGGATATGATCTCCATGTATAATACATAAGGGGGATATGATCTCCATGTATAATACATAAGGGGGGATATGATCACCATGTATAATACATAAGGGGGGACATGATCTCCATGTATAATACATAAGGGGGATATGATCACTATGTATAATACATAAGGGGGGATATGATCTCCATGTATAATACATAAGGGGGATATGATCTCCATGTATAATACATAGGGGGGGGGATATGATCTCCATGTATAATACATAGGGGGGGGGGATATGATCTCCATGTATAATACCTAAGGGGGGATATGATCACCATGTATAATACATAATGGGGGATATGATCACCATGTATAATACATAAGGGGGATATGATCTACATGTATAATACATAAGGGGGGTATGATCACCATGTATAATACATAAGGGGGATATGATCTCCATGTATAATACATAAGGGGGGATATGATCACCATGTATAATACATAAGGGGGGTATATGATCACCATGTATAATACATAAGGGGGATATGATCTCCATGTATAAATACATAAGGGGGGATATGATCTCCATGTATAATACATAAGGGGGGATATGATCACCATGTATAATACATAAGGGGGGATATGATCTCCATGTATAATACATAAGGGGGGATATGATCTCTATGTATAATACATAAGGGGGGATATGATCACCATGTATAATACATAAGGGGGGATATGATCTCTATGTATAATACATAAGGGGGGATATGATCACCATGTATAATACATAAGGGGGGATATGATCTCCATGTATAATACATAAGGGGGGATATGATCACCATGTATAATACATAAGGGGGGATATGATCTCCATGTATAATACATAAGGGGGGATATGATCTCCATGTATAATACATAAGGGGGGATATGATCTCCATGTATAATACATAAGGGGGATATGATCTCCATGTATAAATACATCAGTGGTTCATACAGTGAACTCGGTGTAGAGCTATTCACCCTGAGGTCATCACAGAGGACAAGGGGGGCACTCTTTATGTCTGGAGGAAAAGAAATGTCATCTCCAAACACAGAAGGTTTCTTCACAGTGAGAGCTGTGAGAATGCGGAATAGACTTCCTCAAGAGTGGATTGCTTTAAAAAAGTCCTGGATTCTTTCTTAGATACACAGAATATAACTGGTTACTAACATTTCATTGGTAAAGTTGATCAGGGAATATCCGATTGCCTCTCGGGGGATCAGTGTAGCTGGCCAGCTAAGACCAGTCCTAGGTTGTTAATATGGTTCACATATATGTGTATACCAAACCTGCCAATAACCTCAGTACAGTATATATGTGCATATGTTAAAGCCAAAAGCAGAATCATTGCTGTGATTTATGTCTTTGATTGTTATATGACATTTATATATTCATTGTGTTAGCAGAAGCAGAAAAGGAAAATATGCCTTTAAGAGTTAGTATAAGGTGAGCCAATCACAGACAGCCTCACACTGTACAGAGCCTTAACCAATCCCAGCCAGTTTCACATTTGTGCCTGTGTAAAACTCCCTGCTTGGATTTTCTACAGACACATGCTCACCAGACAGAAGAGGAAACAGACAAAGTTCCAATCAGAAAAGCTTTATGGAAGCAGAGAAGGCCAAATAGGTATTTTATGCACTTGTGTGTTCCTCTGTTGTTTAGCAGTGCAGGTAGATATGTGTGTAAAACTGTTGTGTGTGTTTTACTTGTAGTTCCACTGAACTTACAAACTTATCGAATTTACGAACTTATCGAACTTACGAACTTAAGTCACTGTAGAGTAATCTAACAAATTTATAAATCCAAGTGAATTTATCAATCTATCGAAATATACAGAACAAATTTATCGAATCTATTGAACCTATCGAGATAAGCTATCGAATTAAACCACTGTAATATGAAAGAAATAAGCTACTGTATGATAAACAAAACAAGCCATTGTAAGCAGTTATATGAAGAAGATTGAAGTTATTAAAGAAGTTAACTAAAGTATTCGGTGTGCTCTTTAAACCTACTGCATCCATAGAGCGGCATTGGAGGAATTACAGAGTAAAGTCAGTCTAAGCAAACAAAGAACAGCAATTGCATAATTTTTCTAATGCAACAGCGCACTAGGCACCAAAGGGTGCTGCGCCTGCCACAATCAGGAAGAAATTTTTTTCCTGCAGGAGCAAATTGCATCATACCTTGCTGGGGGTTTTTTTTGCCTTCCTCTGGATCAACTTTTTTTTTTTAATGGTTGAACTGGATGAACTTTTGTCTTTTTCAGCCAGACTAACTATGTAACTATGTAAGTAAATAGGTACCCAACATGTCAAGCCTTAAAATTGTGTGCACTTCTGTACTGTTTGGATCATACATCTTGTTCAGTTTGACATGCCTGTGTTATTATGTCCATTGTGAGTATGATACCTATTTTGTTTCTTCAATTAAATTATTTTAAACGACAATGCACTAGGTTGGTGCGCCCTTTTTCTGTTTCTCCATTTGTATCCAGTGTATTTGGACCACACCGGTCTTTTGAGGGCAGCAAGCAGTGCATATTCCAGAAAGTTCCAGAACATTCCTATTGGGTCTACTGAGTCCTTTCCTAGCGCAGGAGAAAAGTGTTTGTTGTGTTGGATTTGCCTTACTGAGTGCAGTAGTTTGTAAAGGCAAATGTTTTATTAAAACAGAGCAACTCACAAAAAGAGGTCTCTAGGCTCGCATGTCACATAAGGGCTTCTGCTATAGCATTCCAGACCGCTGGGGGCATGGTGATCTGAGACCCGTCTGGTCATGCTGGTGGTTCCAGGGCTCCAAGAACCTAAAGGATCCGGGGCCAATCGCGGTATTGTCACCGGAAGCAGAAGCGGTGCAGAGGCAGTCTGATTGGCGCACGTTTGGAGCATGCGTCCTCCTTCGTCAGGCCGTGATTACACTGTTTTGCAGTGATTGCCAAATGATTTGGAATTGCAAGTAGAATAGCAGCAAATGCACCCATGATTGCAAATTGCCAAGTGGGAAGGGGGCCTAAAGAAGTGACATGAGACCAGAATTTCTGCTACAAAAAGAAAGTCTTGTCTTTAAAAAAACTGCTATAAAATTAATTTGGGTTCAGTGCTGCATGACAGAGTCATTGTCAGCCAAACTATAAGAGCACTAAAAATGGAACAATGGCCTGGTAATGAAGGGGCAATGCAGGCTGGTTCTCCATTGGTTAAAACGCCTCTAAGGGAATGACATAAGAACTGAATTTCTAAACTCACGGCAAATCTTTAAAGCACGAACAAATAAAATCTGTTTATATTAATAACTAGTTGTCACTGTCTTTTGTCTGCTGGTGTCACTTGCCGATTCCAAGCACAGCGGCATTAAGGGGCTGTCCTGTTTGTTCCCTTCACAAGCTGTGTTTTGAAATCCGTACGCTGACAGTTTTTTCTTCCATTTCCATTATCATTCTGACAATTACATTTTGCAGCTATTGTGGAGTCCTGAGAGTACCTGACAAATAGAAGGCTGAGACTACGAGAGGGAAATTTTGAAGAACTTTTACAAATTGAATAGAAATAAAAAAAAAAATATATAGAAGAAAAAAAAAAGGCTCTCTCCATCACAAAGGATCATTCCCAAGTCTCCGGCATTCAAATGTAATCTCTCCTTCAAATTTGTTTCACAATCCACTTTAAAGTTGCGGTTCTGGGAAATATAATACTTCTGGTGGTGAGGAAACCGTTTCTCCCACTTGATATTACCTATCCTATTTGACATGATTATGGCATTTTCTTGTCATTTTCTCCGTCGCTCTGCAATGCGCTTGTTCAGATGGATACCGAAAACATTACACGCATATTTTATATTTATATACCATCTAGGCATAAGTGATTTCAAGAGCAACTTTAGATAACTATAATAGGCAGGAAGCTGTCATTTCTGTGCTAATATCTTTTTTTGTTCAATGTACTGAGGCTCCATTCACACATCGCGTGGCAATCGCTGCAAAGCATGCAACAAGCATTTGGGAGCCATTATTACAGAGTCTTTACTTGCACAGCAAACACTGCAAACCTCGCCTTTAACCACTTCCAGTCCGGGCCAATTCTGACATTCCTCTCCTACATGTAAATAACAACATTTTTTTGCTAAAAACTACTTAGAACCCCCAAACATTATATATTTTTTAAGCAGAAGTCCTAGAGCAGGGGTTTCCAAACTTTTAAAACAAAGGGCCAGTTTACTGTCTTTCAGACTGTGAGGGGGCCAGATTGTGGCCAGTGGGGGTAGAAAATGTCCCTGACCCAGCATCAATGAGAATAAACATTACCTTAGGGTTGGTGGTCAGTAGAAGGAGGAGTAATGCCCCATCATTGGTATTAGTGGCATAAATAGTGCCCCATCATTGGTATCAGTTGAAGACCGAGTGCCCCATTGTTGGAGCCAGTGGGAGCAATATTGCCCCATTGTTGGTTTCAGTGGGAGGAATATCAGTTGGCCCCCCATTGTTGGATTAGTATTGCGCCATTGTGGTTTCACTGAGGAATAGACAGTGGAAGGAATAGTGCCCCATCATGGTGTTGTGGAGGAATAGTGCCCCATCATTGTATCAGAGAATAGTGCCCCAATATTGGGAGGAATATTGCCAATATTAGCAGTGGTAGTGCCCCATCCAGTGAGAGGAATATTGCCCCATGGGGTTTCAGGGGAGGAATAGTGCCCCATCATTGGTGTCAGTGGAAGGAATAGTGCCCCATCATTGGTATCAGTGGGAGGAATAGTGCCCCATCATTGATAGTGCCCCATCATTGTGTCAGTGGGAGGAATAGCACCCCATCATTGGTATCAGTGGGAGGAATAGTGCCCCATCATTGATATCAGTGGAGGAATAGTGCCCCATCATTGGTATCAGTGGGAGGATAGTGCCCCATCATTGGTATCAGTGGGAGGAATAGTGTCCCATCATTAGTATCAGGTGAAAACCTAGTGCCACATTGTTGGAGCCAGTGGGAGTAATATTGCCCCATTGTTGGTTTCAGTGGGAGGAATACTGTTGCATCATTAATGCTAGAAAATCTACAATGTCTGGGGAAATTTTGTGAAGTGTTCTTGCCTCCACCAGTAGTCTACAACTGGAGTGGGCGGGGTAACTGGGTGGAGTGGCTTGTCACTCTGGCTGCCTGCTCACACACCTGGGTTCCTATGGCAACTCACTCTACAGCAAGGGCAGAGAAGAGCGGTTAAAAACAAACTGCTCCAACTTTCTCACTTCACTGGCGTTTGCCATCTTCAAACGGTTGTAGTTTAAAAATTATAAATCCTACACTGAAGAGCTTTATATTGTGAGAATCATAAGACCCAGACCTACATTTTGATGCATAGTATGTCTCTGAAATTTTACAAATGAAGGCACAGTCGCAGTTTAGAAATTGCCCTTCAAATTTGAGGTGGCTAGAGTGGAGTTTCAATGAATGTCAATGGGAGGTGTGAGTTGAAAACAAATGGTCATATTGTGAAAACTATCAGGACTATAGCTTAGCCGTGGACATTTTTTAGTGGCAGCAGGGATAGCTGAACATTTTGATATAAGATTTGTGTAGGTGGGCTTGAAAATGAGGGAGTGATGGCAGTTTAGAAATCATTTCCTGATTTTTCAGCTCACACTCTAGCTTTTGTCAGCTCCCACTCTAGTTTTGAACATTCCACCATTCATTCCTATGAGACCAATTGCACCACAAAAACGCCGATATTTTGTGAAGCATTCGGTGAAACGTTCCACAAAGTAATAGCACACCAATCGGGAACAATCCGCACGTTTCCGTATATTACTGTCTATATAGTGTAAAAACTGTGGGAGGAGTTAGGGTGGTAACTTTGGCTATAATAATAAGAATATATATGTGAGATAACAGTAAGTGGTCTTGCCATGCAAGAACACTTAATTAGTGGAAGGAATAGTGCCCCATCATTAATATTAATGAGAGGAATAGTGCCTCATTATTCATATCGGTGGCAGGAATTATGCCCCACTGATGATGGAGGAATAGACCCCAAGGACCGGATAAAGGCAAGCAAAGGTCCTCATCTGGCCCTTAGGCCACATCTGGCCCTCGGGCCACAGTTTGGAGACCACTGCCCTAGAGAATAAAATGGTGGGTGCTGCATATTTTTAAAAAAATACACTTTAATAAATTTTAAGGCGCAAAAATACAATATAATACCAAATTTGTGGTAAAATATAAAAGATGATGTTATGCGGAGTAAATAGATGCCAAACATATCACGCTTGAAAATTGTGTACGCCCATGGAACCGAAATGGAATGAAACTATAGAACATAAAAATCTCTGTGGGCTGCACTCTAAAAGCTTTTTACAGCATACCAGTTTAGAGTTACACAGAATGTCTGGTGCTAGAATTGTTGCTTTCGCTCTGATGTTTGCGACAATACCTCACATGTGTAATGCGAGTGTCGTTTACAAAAGGGGGTAGGACCAACACAAATGTTCGCCTTTGTGCATGAGCATGGGGGATGGGGGTGCTTTAAAAAAATGTGTATTATTTTTATTTGAAATTTTTTTCTGTACATTGTAACTTAAATTTTTTTTGGATCATTTTTATTGTTATCACAAGAGATGGACAACATGCCTTGTGACAGCACGGGTCATGACAGATCCTCTTTTTAGGGACATCTGGGGTCTATTAGAGCCCATATCTTTCCTCTGGCCTCCAAAGCATCAGATCAAACCAAGAACAGTTTGACCTGACGCTTGCATAAGCCGGTAATGGCTTATTTACATGAGACAAACCAGATGTACCAAAAACCTTGCCGATTCTAGTTTCTACAGTGAGAGGAATGACATCCTTTCCTCTCACTGTGTCTCAGGAACAGGATGCCACCATTGCATCCTTACCGAGCTCTCCCAAGTGATAGATAAAGGTGGTGGCAGCGGCATTGGAAGTGGACCCCCTTCCACCGCCTTTAAAAGTAATCCATCAGCTCTTTAGCTGCTTGGATTACTTTTACCAGCTTCAGATTTTCAGGCTGAAAAAAAATGATAATTTGGACATCGCTGCAGCAGATATCAGCCTTCTATCCAAGGACATATGGGTACATCCTGTAGATGGGAAGTGGTTAAAAATCGAATGAAGCTTGTCACCTGAAAAGGAGTATGTGCTTCTTTTCAAGCAACAAATGTGCATAGTGCAGCCCCTGAAGTGAATTGGCTGCACTATGTGTGACACACAAAATTGCATGCAAAATGCTCAACCAAGATCACAAGTGGGAGCGCTTGTTCCCACTACGCAAAAGTGTGAATGCAGCCTGAAGCCAGATTTAGCAGTCATTTTACAGTGCCTTTGGGTACCATCGTTTCTTGTGCCTATAGATCTGGTCAGGAAGTGACATGGGTAAAGACTGCCACACATGGCTCAAATTTCTAAATTCAAGCCGTGGGTGCCCCTGTTGGTACCACCTGGCTTAGCAAAAGTCAATTGTTTGATCGACTTTTATTGGAGAAGCCAGGTGGAGAATTGTTGGCCAAACACTGCCTACATCCAATCAGATGCAAGCACTGATTGGGTATTCTGACAGGGGTTGGAGTTGGCTGTCAGAAAACAATACCCGGTAAGTAGGGAGGTGCAGTTAGCCTTCCCACCTGCAGGTGCCCTAAAGCTATTATTGCATGGGAAGGGGAGCCTAGTAAGGGAATTGGTTCCTAAAAATCTCCGTTTGGTGCCTTGAAAGAGGAAAGTGGTCTGTTTGGATGGACAGCAAATTCTTAAAGTGGTTCTTCAGTCAATGTTAGAAAAATTAAAAGTCAGAAGCTACAAAAACTGTAGTAGCTGACTTTTAATAATAGGACACTGTCACGAATCCAACCCACACGCTCACACCCATAGCGACTAGCTAACCGAGGCGTGCACATCTGGCCATGACTTGGGATAAGAGGGAATGAAGGGGACTTACTTTGAATATACTGTATATATAAGACCAGCCGTGATATACTTTCACAGTCCGCACTACCTCTGGCCACCACTAGAGGGAGACTCCACTCCAATCCAGCTGGCTGACCACACACAGGCAGATACGAATCTTATATACAATCTGGTGCACTGTTAGGGTTGGGGAGCAGCCTAGCAATTGGCACACCCTTCTAGGATTCTTCCAGCTATCCTACCAGCTAGAACCCCGGTGTTAATCACTCTTCCACTGTCCACACACCCCCCACACCAGGCACACAACAAATGGTAGCTTGCCACCACCCAACAGTTTATCCGCAGACTGGTTTGCTGGGCCACCACACACACACAGATATCCTAATTTACAATCTGCATGCAATCTGCCAACACGCAGTGCAATTGCATACAGATAGGCAATGAACTTGACCGAGCGTATAAAGACACTGCAATACAACAATCTCTCCGGAGATATGAGCCCGAGCTTAAGTACCCAGAAGACATATTAATTTTATGATTTAATATCCCAAAAGTGGGCAGTGCATAAAATATGTACAAAGAGAAAACAATTACAGAAAATGCAAAAAGACACACAATTGGCTATTGACTATAAAAGAAAAAGGAATAAAAACAGAAATAAAACTTTACCAAGATTTATCCTGCGACTGGAGCAAGTCAGAGAAGGTCCGTGATTCGCCAGTCAATAGAACCGGCTCCGTACGAATCACACCGTCCATATCTCAGGGTCCTCAATTTATTGAAATATGGACGTAGACTGGACATTAGCCCTTGGCCAATCAACCCTGGGGGGTGTTCCTGTACCAGCCCATAGGATGTTCTGGGTACTGAAGTGCCCAAAGTCGATTGGACCAGGAACGGTTTGAATCACCAAGTTAGGGAAAGAATTTCCGACACCAGCGCATCAGTCCGATTGCGACAGTACCAATCACTGTTCAGCTGTCGCAATCAGGCGCCATATAACTGTTTTCTGCATTTCTCTGGGATTCTACAGAGGCTACAAATACATGCAGATGTAGCGTACAGTGTGTCCAATCAGAAGGAAGTATTTTCATCTCTCTGCAACTAATTTTATAGCTTTCATGAGAGATGAAATATTTTCCTTTGATCTGGGTATCTAATTCATGGCTTGGCAGACATGTCAGAGCCACTCCTGGTCTCCTGCTGGGTCACAAAGCCGAAATGGCTGGAGCTTCTCTTTTAAACTTCCAGAAGGTGACAAAGTCTGACTACATAGGTGGCAAAGTCTTATTGGCATCTAGGTGTCACCTCCAGTCTAGAAGCTGCTCTGTCCTCAGATGCTAATTGGTGAACATATGTCTCTGACTGAATTCTGAACACATGTTTAATAACATGGAATGAAACTAAATCTACAATGACATATTTCTACAGATCACATCTCAACTACCCGAACCTTACATTTATGTTACAGATACTCACCCATCCCAGGATCCAGCACTATCCTCACCTAGGCTATTTGTTCACCCGGCTTCAGTCCCATGTGCCAGCATACTAACTGGGGGCAGCCAACTGTTACTGCTTGTGGCATCACAGCTGGCTGCTCACTGCGTATGTTGCATGCTGCGCTATCTGGACTCCAACCTAATCCTTCCAGCCCCAAGTCCAATCTTTAACAAACTCGTGGCAGACTCCACCTCCGCAACATCGCCAAAATCCGCACGTGGCTC